CGCAAACAAGCTGATTTTCAAGTTCTGTTCGGCTAGACGGATATCGATTGGTGGGCATGTCTCCAAGTTTTTTGCCTTCACCTATATCTGATAATGTATGAATTTGTGACATCTTATTGATATCTAAAAATAAATTAAATAGTGGATAACTAATATTAATTGCATTCAATAAATATGACTAAAAGATTTTTAAGATCTGATGCAACGCCTTTATCAGATGATAATATAAGAGATATCATTAATGCTAAAAATTCGATGAAATGTGCTTCAGAAGTTATGGCAAAAAAATATAAGATATCATCACGCCGTGTTTATCAGATTTGGCGAAATCAAGAATACCCTACTGATCATATATACCAAATCCAAAATAAACAAAACATTAATTGGGATAAAGAAATTGATGATATATATAACTTATATAGTGAACTCCCATATTAACAAAGTTAAATATACACATATTGAGTTTGATATATCATATGGGGTATATGTGATATTTGTAACAAATGGAATATGTGTATGTATTAGATTAGAACATCCATATCAAATGAATATTAGACTTGTATATTTAACATGTTACATTTTTTCGATATTTTTTGCTAGATATAAATATCTTATATTTTTAAAACAACAAAAAGAATAAAGTATTTATCACTATGGTCAGAGTACGTATGAAATGTGATGCATCTCCATTCACCTCTGATGACTATACTTATATTATGCAATGCCGTGATATAAAACCAAGATATAAAATTTTGAAAGACTTAACAGAAAAGTATAAAACATCAACAAAACGTATTTATCAAATTTGGAGAGGAGAAGAGGCTAATAGAGTTCTCTGGGATCAACCTATACCTCATTCATATAGCCCATACCTGCGAAGCAATACACAAAGTGCACAAGTACAGTCTAATATATCCCGCCATGAAGTGACTGACTCTGGTAATAATTTATCTAGTATAAATGATACGATTCACTCTGAAGTTTTATCAGATAAATTAGCAGAGATAGCACAACCAAAGATTCGAAATTCTACTTCTTCACGTGCAGTAAAAAAAAGTAGTACCTCTTCCATAGATAATACATCGAAAAGAAAGACGGATCTTGAAAAATTAATGAAAGATACTGATAGATTGGCACCTATAAATCCATCTTTGTCTCAGTAAGTTGAGAACATCTTTCTGCAAGAACTTTACCTGCGTTTAAAGCCATACCAAGCCACTCTTCAGTTTTTATGAGTCGCTTTTCGAGTTCATCATATTTTTCACAATTCACGCATTTTTTTTTATTGTGGGGCAGGACGTTAGGCGATTCTCCGAATCATGGCTCTTCGAACCAATCTCTGATGCCTGTAATTTTTCTGTATTAAATGCATTGCGTGATTCTTTGCGAGTAGAAAGAGGAATTGTAATAGTCTTTCCATTGTGTGTTGCTATAAATTCCCCTTTTACTATAGGATCCCATCCGATATGATGTTGCCATTTTGTACCAAGTATCATTATAGATATATCATTCCCATTTCGATCTTTTTTTGTAGGGATTACAGATATTTCTTTTTCATAAACTGTTATAGAATCGTTTCCACTATCTATAGATATAGGTATATTATATGATGTACCAATAGACTGGGAATCTCCAACCGCACCTGTAAGTTTGTGAACATTTTTCGTATCTATTTTTATCCCTAAATATTTAGGAATGTTATCTGTATACAATGAATCATCTGCACCGGTATCTAGAATTGCGTGGGGTATTATTAAGTCACCTATTCTACAAGATATTGTTGCTACATTGTTGGGTTCTTTTATATCGAGAAAATCAATCTCAAAAGGGTTAGGCCAATTTTGCCTTATTTGTGCTCCTTGATATACTTTAATGGCGTGATTTAATGTAATGGAATTGTCAAGTTTTTCTGGTGAAGATATAAGCTCATAATCACGATTCGTTTCTTTGTGACTCGAAGGGTTTGGAGACTGGTCCTTAATAATTTCAATAAGTGATTGGAAAATAGTTAGATATTTTTTCGCAATAATCTCCCATACCTTATTTCGTTCCTTGACTGTATACTTTTCGCCATAATATGAATCGAATTGGTCCTTCATCTTTATAAATAGATTATTAAGAAATACACGAGCTTCAATGAGAATCTCCTTAGGACAATGGGGTACTAATTCGGATATCATATATTTAAGAGATTCAAGAAATACTTCCTGTTCCAAAGTAACGATCGATTTTTTCTTAGTAGAAGGCTTCTTCTTTATAGGAATCTGACTTTTTTTTTTACGTTA